AAACGATAGTGCCACATATCTTGCCGTAAACATGTTTGTAAAGTTATTAACATAAGTAGAGGAATGGAACAGGAAATGATACTTCTTACCCCGTCTTCTTTCCTCACTCCCTTCTTTTCAATCTATTGTTTACTAGACCAATTTTGTTCCTTTATATGATGGTTAATAGATAAATCATATTACATATTTTATTTTTATTTATTTATTTATTGACTCTTGCTTATTATGGTCACTCATGCCTTGGTCATCTCCCAATTGGATTACTGCAATGTGCGCTACATGGGGCAGTCCTTGAAGAGTATCTGGAAATTTCAACTGATGCAAAATGCAGGGGCACAGGCAGTTATGTGTTTTTCTAGAACAACACACATTTCAGCTGTGCTCCATGTGCTGTATCAATATATTTCCAGATTCAATTCAGAACTGCTTGAAGATGAATTATGACATGTACAATAAGTTCTAAAGAAACAGGAAGCCAACAGGAGTACTGTGCAATAAATTGTTAGATGGTCAAGGCTATAGCTAAACACCATATATTTCCCCAATTTTGACTGGCAGAGCTAAGGCAAAAAGATGCTGACCAGTGGGGGATTACAGTTTGGTCTGAACTGGTCAGTCCACCCAGACTTTCTTTTATGGTGCAGTTACCAGAATGGGAGATAACCAGACAGCAGGGAGCATGGAGTAAACAGAATGGAAAAGACTGGCAGGAAAATAGAATTGCTAAAGAGGGAGACCTGGAAGCATATTGTCAAGCCCCTCTATCCTGACATTGCAATGATAAGCAGACATAGAATGCTGTCTTATACACCTCAGGCTGTTCCACCCATCAAATCCAAACGGCTCTGTCTGATTGCTTGGAAAGCAAATATTATACCACTGAGTTATGTACCAGAAGTTTAAGACTGTGATCTGAAGGTAAGTTGAAGAATGGTCGAGGAGATGTTACAAGATGCTGTACAGCTTTTGGCCTCCAATTGTTTCACATCTTAGCCATATTTTCCTGCTGCCTGAGGCATTCCTGTAAGCATGGGGAATAATGCTGCATTTTCCTTGTTTTATAAATGGATGGCATTGATAGGAATTTTGATAGAATAGGAACAGGAAGTGGGGCAGGTAGTTTGTTATTTACAGCATACAATAAGTAGGCATAGAACAAAAAAATAACTTGCAAACTGGATAGTTACTTCGAAGAAGTTTATTCCATTGACATCCTTCAGTCTCGAGAAACTATAGTATCGTGCTCTGGAAAGAGGTCCAATTCGAGAATGGCAGTCCCTTCCACACTGAGGGCAGATACAATCTGTCCCCTGTCCAGCCCCCAGGTTTCACTGGTTCCGGGACTGCCTCTTTGCCTCAGCCTGCCGCACAAGTGTCTCTTCAAATTGGAGAAGGCCATGCTGCGTCTTTAGCCTCCAGGCTGAACGATCAGAGGTCAAGGATTCCCAGCTGTTAATGTCCATTCCCAAAGCCTTTAGGTCCCTCTTGCAGATATCCTTATATCTTATACTGTACATCATATTGATATTATGAAGGAATATTTAAACTTACATTCAGGATATATGAAACTGATTAAGAATACTGGATGAGAGCAAAACAGACATTATTAATACTAAAAAAACCAAATTGCAATCTCTCATTAAGATACGGTATATGGAGTTGCCACACAGTTAAGATACATGGAGACCTTGTCTGGTTCCTCTCATTTTCCAAGTCTCTGGTGGCTTGTTGAAGATCACAGTACAGTGTGTTGATCATATCTATTCATAGTTATCTCAGAACTACTTTCATGGGATTGGTTAGCTTTTCTCCATGTACTTATTTCTTTTACATTTATTTATTGTATAGCGTGGGTTTGTCCCATTATTCACATCCATGTCCCACAGTCATTCTATAATGTTGGGTAGAGTGTTTATTAAACAAGCTGTGTTTATTGTAATTTGCCACCATTTCCTGTTTTATAATTGTTTTCCTGCTGAAAATTAAAATATAGCTGCTTTCTGGACCCCATTCCAGTTACCAGCTTCAGCTCCTCATGTATATATTGCCCTGTATCTAATAGCCCTAACTGAACTGAAGTGCAATGATTTAAAATAAGTTTGCTCAAGCAGATTTCCTAGCAAGAGTTGGAGAAAAGTTTCAGGTACAAATATCCCAAGGGCCCAAAATAATATCGTAGCCTCTGATTCACTGTATTCTTGTCTCAACTGCTCAGTTCCAAACTGGGGTGGGTGGGTATTCCAAGAATATAAACCATGGTGAGGCTTTCTAGCTTGATGCTACCTGATTTGTGTAAGGTAACTGAATAATCTTCAAAACTGCTGTAAATAAAACGTTTATATAAGGTACAGTATTCTACTGAAACACTGCACAGGCTCTTCTCATGTCATGGCTAAGCAGGAGGTTCACTTAAGCTTCTGATTTTTAGTCCAAATTCTGATATTCACTTTGTTTTCTTTTTATCATTAGCTACTTTGTTGGTTGATGGTTTTGGAAAGGTATTCTCCCACTGGTAATTCCTCATTATAGATATGAAAGGGTATGTTGCAGTTGCAAGCTGGTAAACACATCAGGAAATTTCGTACAAATCAAAGCCAAGCTTTCCTTGAGTATTTAACCAAAAAGTTAAAAGTAGATGAGGGTCGGACATCTGTGAAACAATCATTCATGTTTCTTTGAATCAAAAGCATTTGGTAGTGACTGATTCAGATCTAATTGAAACCCTCCGAAGTTTTATTCTTCAGAGGAATAGTTTCTGAGAGTAGACCCAATTGAAAAAGCAACGCAGTACTTAGGGTCTCCTATATAAGGCTCTTTTTGGAATGTCCTCTTCAGAGAAACTCTGGTAACACAACTGTATTGATATTTCAAGTTAAACAAGCCAATTTTATTTTCCTTTTATTTTCATTTCTGTGTCCATTTTTTGTTTGTTTTTGTATTATGTTTGCTTTATATTGGGATATAGATTTTTTTCTTATTTTGTTTTCTTTGTGGTTTAAATTTTTTGTGAGCCATCTTAAGGATCTTTGAAGGGCAAATTATAAATGGAATGAATAAAAAAAATCAATTTCCTCAGTGTCAGGATCTCGATCCAAATGGACTTCTTCTGTTCCAAAATTGCATTTTAATCTTTAAACAAAACAGAGCACTCTAATTATTGATCTCTCATCCTGTCATTTATTTCTGCCCTTATATTAAAGCCAAATAAGCTATAAACAGCTGTTGTAAAATTGCCTGCAGTGTTTCGGATTTGTTTGTTTTTTACATTTGTAGATGTGCAAAAATCTGGTGCCTAGGTCATTTTTAAAATTTCTAATAACCGAACCGAATCCGACCGAACACAGGTAAGGAGACATATTAGATCTTACCTTGTGGCGATGAGG